CATAGTTACACAAGGGTGATTTTTTAAACCTACCATGTGCCCCATAGTCATCGAGAATAAGATCGAAGTCTTCTGGTCTGCAGAGATCTGGCCTTAACATTTTCTCAGTCTCACCACCAGCCTCTCCAGCTGAGGCCAATACACACCTAGCTCCTTCAAGCTCTACATGCTGCTTCCTGGTCTGCAAGGGTCTTGCTTTCACATAGGGGACTCATTTTCCATTCCTCTCATCATCTATCCTACTGATTTATTTTTCTCCTCATGCTGATCAGCGGACAGAACTTTGCATGAAAACAGTGTTCAGATTTTCACTGACCCACTTTAAATGTTAAATGCCTTTAAAATGGGCGTTTACTTGCCATTGTAATGTTTTGTCCTCTCACATTTTAAGTTCATTTAACAGAAATTTGTTAACTCTGTCCAAGGCACTGTGCTTGCTATTATCTGAGCGGCCCTAGATTTGACAAATGTCTCCTGAGGACTGCTTAAATGGATGTTGGTAAGAAAATAAAGCTAAAATGAAACCTACTTAATTTTTAAATACAATAAGACAGAATAATAGCATTTTAGAAAGAATTCATTAGCCCACATGTACATGTGAACTTATTGAATTGTCTTATGAATGTGTTCTGAACTCATTTTGCCATTAGAAAAATCCATCCTATAAATTATAGACAAGTAAGTTATAGTTCATAATTTATGCAAAGTATGGTAGTATCTGTAGTTTATACAGATTACTGTGACCAATAATATTTTAGCAGTATTTACATTTTCTTATTTTCTTCTTTGAAGAAATAAACGTGATTTAGTTGGTGGAATAATTTTCTAGTAGCATATTTTAGGAATGACTAGTTAGCTCATTAAGCAGATTGAAATAAGATCCACAGAAAAACCTTGGTAAAGCTGAATTATGTCCTATGTTGTGTTGAGAGATATGATTCCATTAATACAGATCTTGATTCCATTAATACAGATCTTAAAACCATGTTCCAAACCTCAATTAATATATAATTATTTTTCTATGGTAATTACTGTGTTTTCAGGGGACTATTGTTCATAAAATTAATCAGAGGTTATCTTCAATTGGATCATTAAGTATATTTGGTCTCTGTTTGCTTTAAATATAAGATCACAAAACTTTAAAATACCCTGAGAAATCCACTGTATTATAATGTTATAAATAGCTATTCTTTCATTCAAAAGACATGGCATGTACTGGGTTTGTTCTGAAAGCATTGCATTATTGTAGATACTGGGGATGTGGAGTTCATGTCTCCTTCTGTCATGGAGTTTATGTTCTAGTGGATAAGCTAGTACCAGGAAACACATACACATACAAGCACACATTCAGAGAGTGAAGGCAGTGAACTCCAGTTATGTTGAAGCAGCATTGGACTGAGGTCAGGGTAGAGCTCCCTGGGTACACAACCTTTCATTTAAGACCTGAAGTATGAGAAAGAGCCAGTCCTAAAAAGGTCCAATCAAGGAGAATCCCAGGCCAAGGGCACAAAAAAATACAAAGGCCCTGCCTGAGTTCAGAAGAAGCCTGGCATGTTCACAGCTTAGAGGAGGTTGTGAGCGTGGGATAGAAAAGGAGTGAGTGAGTAGGCAGAGGTAATCTCAGAGGCAGGTGGAGAGGCCCAAACCTTGCAGATCCTTGTAGGCTGGTGAAAACTCATAGACTTCCCTTTAAGTGCAGTAGGCAGCCACTGCAGAGTTTTATGAAGGGCAGTGTTTTCTGTTTTTCTATGAGGATCCTGACTGTTCTGTGGAGAAGGGGGTGTCAGGAGCAGGGAGGAAGACAGTATCATCAAGTCATTATAATGGTGAGACGTAACGGAGGTTTGCAGAGGAGTTAGGGGAGACAGCAGTGGGATAGATAGCACTGGACTTGGAGTTGAAGGAACAGATCCAGGAAGCATTTGGATGTAGACTAGATAGAATTGCTGATGGATTGGGAGTGGAAAATAATTTCTCTTAGTGAAGTATAAAAACGGGATGACATGGCAGTAGTTACTTAGAGCATCCAGATTCCATTTTTGCTCTGTATCTTGAGTTAAAACTTACTGCACATATTCATTATTATGGTGAAACTGATTTTTTTCAAAAACTCAATTCAGACACACTTAAAGCATGCCGCCTCTTACAGTTGGCTGCAGTGAATGAAAAGAAATTAAGAAGATGGCAGCGGAACTAAGCAAATCATTTCATCTAGAAGCACAAAGCATGGCCTAAAGCAGTTTGTTTTGCTAATAGTCATTTCCTTTGTACAGAGAAGATTCCTCTTGTAACCTACACAGAGTCAGGAAATCATTTTGAGCTGTAGTTTTTAAAATCGTATTTTCATATTTTTGTATTTTTAGTCTTCTGAGTTCTTAGCTATGATGCTTAAATTTTAGAAGATGTTAACCTTCCAAACGATACATAAGTCAAAGGTTCCTAGAATCTGCTCTGAACCCCTCCTCTGACAAGCTGGCCCCCATCCTCCTTTTCATCGGACTTTCAAAATCATCCCAGGTGACTTTGAGTCCCCGTGGCTAACACTAACCTAATGACTCAGCAAGAAGGCCAGCCTCAGGGCTCCTTCTCCTCTACTGTAGAGGTGCAGGGAGAAAGAAAGAGCCACAGAAGAGTTAAAAGTTACTGAGGGTCTGTGGCCAAACGGCAGGGCTTTGCATGGGAGGATAGGGTTGAACAGAAGTGCCTCCCCCTCCCCACCTCAGCCACAACTGAATACCAGCATCCATTCATTTGTTACACCTTGGTTTTGAGAATAAGATTTGGTTTGAATAAAGAGTACACCAGTTCCTTTAAAAGGTTTAAATACACTGTTCAAGGCTGTGGCCAACTTGCTCCCTCAGATGGTCCCAGGCCACACAATTGTATCATTTTTAATTAAGTTCTCAATGTGAATTGAGTTTCCCCAGGCAGTAAGTGAAACTCACATTCCCAGTAACAGCCCCAAATTCCATGGGTTAGATTCCGCCTGCCGTTGTCCCATCAGCTACTGTAGGAACTTTTTCAGAGGGCTACTTTTTTGGGGGCAGACTTGGAGATTGAACCCAGGACCTTTGTGCTGAGCTACATCTCCACCACCCACTCCCCTTGAAACAGGGCTTGCTAAGTCATTAAGTTGCCTAGGATGGGCTTGAATTTGTGACCCTCTTGCTTCAGCCTCCCAGAGTGCTGGACTTACAGGCCTGCATCACCACACCTGGCCCAGATGGCTTCTCTTTATGATACTTATGTCTCATGGGCCCCAGAAATTTGTAGATTCTACGTTAGATCAATTCCTAGTTTCTGTTGATTTTTAACCTCTTTGAACCTACACTTTTTCTAAAAATTTGGGTACTTCTCCTTCCTTCTGGCCATTGGGGCAATGTCTTACTCCTCTCACATCCATCTCACAGACACTAGAGTCACAGTAGGGCTCATGGAGCCTCATGTGATGCAGCAGGAAGGGAGCTCTGAACTACACTGCACTTGGAGAGAGGGTTCAGGCCTCCACTTGGACCCTGGAGTCCTTTTGCTTTCTGCGATGCACCTGTTAGAATAACCCCACATGTGGTGATCTCCAGCCCTGTTCTCTGATTGTATCCATCAAATCATTTTCCCATTTTGGTCCATCAAAGCCAGTTCAAACTCTTTCCCAAAGGACCTCTATAGTCACCTGCAAACTAGGGGTTGTGGCTGCCGTAACTTTAAGTGCCCCAACAGTGTGGATGCTGGTCCATTCCACAGCACCCACACATCTTCTGGGGAGAATGCTGCCTAATGCCACATGCTGACCTGAGTCTTAGCTGTGTGACCTGAGCCACCACAGCTTATTACATGAGAAATCTTGCTTAAGAAACAAAAAGAGAGAGGTCATGTGAGTTTATGTGGGGAATAAAATTAGGAGCTCACAGGGGCAGGGGATTTAGCTCAGTGGTTCTGCCACCTGCCTCGCAAGTGCAAGGTCCTGAGTTCGATCCCTGATACCAAAAAAAAAAAAGAAAGAAAAAGATTAGGAGTTCACAGATACTCTGTTGGTAATTTTCATCTTCTTTCTGTAGAACGTCTTTGAAGTAAAATATAAGTATAACCTCAAGGTATAAAATAGGTGGCCCTCAGTTCTCAGGATCAGGCTGCCCTCCTCTCCTAGCCTCTCCCTATGCTAGGGCCATCCTGACAGCAGAAATCTTGAAATATTAGGGAACTTAGAAACATATCTCAACAATTTCCACACTACGGTGTAAAGATTTCAGAAGCAGACACAGTATTTGCATTGCAGGTTGACACTTCCCCAAGACTCACATCAGTCACCCTTTTGATGCTGGTCTTCGCCACAGGATTCAGACTGGAAAACCTTACAACTTTTAGCTTTTGAGCCCCAGCACATCTCTAGGTGATGGGACACCCCCCCCCCCCCGTCCCAAGCTTAGTGTTCAGTCTTTTGCGCCTGTTCCACAACACAGTGACCTTTGATCAACTTGTCTGTTTCCTTCACTTAAATAGAAACTCGAGGGCAGAAATACTTGCAGGAGGGGAGCTTACTCACTGTCTACAGCTTCCAATCCCCTGGCAGATGCCTGACACATAAACACACTGCACATTTGAATGAATGAATCATCAAGTTACCACAGATGCATTTGTTGAGATGTGAACGGCAGTTATTAAATAAATCAAATCTGAGTGAATCAAAACAGAAATCATTTTTCAAAGCTTCGTTGTTGTGGGACTTTCAGCACACTATTTAAAGGAGACCTCAGGTTCAAAGGAAAGTTTTTATTTGTCAAGGCAGTAGAGGCATCCACTGTGCATATGACTCTTTTCACCTGGATGGGACTGGCTGGGACTATCACCAATTTCTGTGTTCAGAATTACTTGTATTCATAATCCAAGGGATAGGGGACTGTCGGGGCGGGGGGGAATGCTCGCGTGTGTGAAGGTGTTGTGTGTGTGTGACAAATGACTGGGAGTTTTAATGAAGCACTCACTTGGAAATTGTCTTTCTGCAGGTGATGTATCACCAATCAGTATGTCTCCCATCAGTCAGTCTCAGTTCATTCCACTCGGGGAAATCCTTTGCTTGGCCATCTCAGCAATGAACTCAGCAAGAAAACCTGTTACTCAAGAAGCACTGATGGAACACCTGACAACGTGTTTCCCAGGTAATGAGAAAAGAACGGACATTTTCCAAATGCAGGTGTGCTCTGTGACTCTGGGACTTCAAATGGACTGACTGTTCTTCCCAAGGATTTTCTGTTTATTTCCCTGCACTGGTGATTGAACTCGGGGCTTTCACACTGAGCTACATCCTCAGAGCACCTCACCCCACCTTAGTTTTTCATTTTAAAACCAAGTCTTGTTAAGTTGCCTGGGCTGGGTTCAAGTGCTAGAATTACAGATGAGAGGCACCATCCCTGGCATTCTTCACCGAAGCTGACCAGGAACTTTTCTTTTTTTCTTAAAAATCAAAGCACATCTGTGTTACATCAAAAGTAATTTCATTGCTTGAGGTGCAGTACTTTTTGAATTGGCACTGAGTAAAAACAGAGAATTGCACAAAATTAACCAGAGCTCAGTTCAACTTTTGCAATCCAGCCTTTCTTGAATTTATGAAAATGAGGCTAGTCAGAAACAACTAACTGAAAATTTTAATCCAAAGGGATTAAACTACAGGAAAAGTAATGTCAAAAATAAACACATCTTTTTCAAAATTAATTTTATTGGTACAATTTAAATATACATAATAACCACATTCACCAAAGAAAATTTATACCTGTACATGGTACATCTTGATTCCTCTTTTTCACCCCTTCCCCTCCCATCTCTTCAACCCCCCTCCTTATTTACAAAAGCTTTGTTTCCATTTTTTTCCTTCTTTTCTCATTTTTTTCTTTTCTCTTCCTTCTTTCCTCACTCCCCCTTTCCTGATTCCCTTTCCTTTTGAACAGTTTCTTCCTATTTCACATTACTTATTATACATTTTGGCTCTTGTTTACCCTTTCAGTTTCTCACACCAGAGAGACAATGCAATATTTACATGTGTGTGTCCGATTTATTTCACTTAAGAGTAGTCTCAAGGTACATCCAGTGAGCTATAAATGTCTCAAATTTATCTTTCTTTATGGTTGAGTAGTACTCTATTTTATAAAACAAAAGACATCCCTTTGGGGCTGGGGATTTAGTTCAGTGGTTCCGCCACCTGCCTCAAAAGTGCAAGGACTCGAGTTCGATCCTTGGTACCAAAAAAACAGCAAAACAAAAAAACATCTTTTCTATGTGTTCGTCAGTTGATGGGCATTTGGGTTGTTTCCAAGTCTTAGCTATTACAAACTGTGTTCCTATAAACGTGGGTGCCCATATATGATTGGGGTATGATTCTTTTAATTCTTTTGAGAAGATAGCCAGGAGGGGAATAGGTGGGTCCAATGAAAAATAAACATATCTTACATGTTTGTGTCATGGCTTGATGAGCTTTAAGAAAATACTATGTGAAAAATTAGTTAAGATTTCATTTTAAAAAATAAAATACATATTTGCTTTTCTTTTAAAATATTGTAAAAAGAAGATACTGGCCCAGCTGTCTCTGGTGAAGGGAGGCTCTTCTTCCTGCCTTATACTTCTGATATCAAATACAGAAGCTTTTAAAAATCCTTATATTTTTATATAATTTAATGAAAGATCAGACAGTTTTTTCAGAATTAGTTGCCTACCACCCACTACAGGGGCTATAAAATAAAGAATGGAAAGAATGCAGAGCCAGTACTTGACAGTAAGATGCTTGTTACTGTGAAGTAGCTGATAACAATATTACTAAGTTGGAATACTTTGTTGAGAAATCCTTATATCATTTATACTTAAAAGCATAACTGGCTTGCTAGCTGCTGTGCAAGTGAACTTTATTCCCAAGGCCTTGGTCTTAGAGGAACTGAGAGGACCTAACTGGAGCTTTTTCATGTGTGTGACACTGACAAATATTTACCAACCCCAGAAGTTTGCAAGGAGCCTGCACAAACTTGATTCTAGGGGGTTTATAAGCTGTTCCCTAGTGTGGCCCACTACTTGATTTTGTAAACAAAGACTTTTTAGAACACATCGTGCCTACATGTATTCTCTTTGGCTCTTTATGCTACATTGTTAGAGTTGGGTATTTGCAACAGATATGATATGACTTACAAAGTCTAAACTGTCTGCTGTCTGACTCTTTACAGAGAAGTTTTCTGATCCCTGGTCTGGGGCATGGTGGTAATTATTTAAAATTTTGTTTGGCAGTAGGTCCAGATGTTAGTATTTTGTACAAAGTGAGATTTGTTTCCAGGCTTCCTTCATTCTTTTTTATTTTTATTTTATTTTATTTATTTTAAAAAAATTTTTTTGGTACCGAGGATCTAACTCGGGACCTCGTGCTTGCAAGGCAGGCGGCAGAACCACTGAGCTAAATCCCCGGCCCTTCATTCTTTTTAGAAACATTTTTTACTAGTACTGAGATGGTTTCCTGCTTATGTCTTTCCTTCCTTTCTTTTCTTCTCTTCCTTTGATTTTTTTTATCCTTTCATCATCCTTAAGCTATATCAGAACAAAAACACTCTTGAAAACTTAGAGCTTTAAATTCTATTTGAAAATGTGTTTTCAATGACAATGGTGAAACTCTAGAGGAGTTTAAATATCATATTTATATGTTTTTAAAGGTAAGAGTATTTACATTTTTAAAATCTATTGGAAAATAAAGTTTTGAATTCAAAATATTATTAAAATATTTCAATTCTTTAGTATAGAATTTGGCCCCTTTTTGGTTTTGAGCATCCATATTTTAAGAGTTTTTAGTGAAAAGTTTTCTAGTAAAAATGTTTCATACACTAAAACAAACCTTACTCTCACCTTACGTAGGTAGAATTTTTTTCAGACTAACTCAATGGCTTTTATATATCAGTTTCCAGTAGAGAATCAAGAATATTTTTAAAAGGTTTAAGAAGAATAAATACTTGCTTCTCACATTTCTAAAGAACTATTCATCATTCACCCAAAATGAATGAATATTTACATTGGGCTGGTACTTCTTATGTTGTTGGAAATGGATCTTCCTGGGAGGAAGGCCGATCTCTGGGAAACAGAGTTAGAGCTCTAAGGCTGGGAATGGGGTTCAAGTTGACTTTAGAAATTGCTGGAGACTGTTAATGTGACTATACCATATTCTCTCTCCATCTAATCCTACTGTATTGTCCCTCATCCAGTGTTCTTCACAAACAAGAAGAATAACCTAAAGAAGCCCACTAAATGTTCACTGTAAAGCTGGGTGCAGTGATACACTCCTGTACTCCCAGCTACTTGGAAGGCTGAGGCAGGAGGATTATTTGAGTACAGGAATTCCAGGCCAGTCTGGGCGGTGTAGTAACCATATGCCCCCAAAATAAAACAAACCATTTTCAGTCTAAAATGCTTAACATATAGAAAGTGGGCATGTTCTCTCTGTTCTCACAGTTGATCGGATTTGAACAATTAAAGCAATATGTAGGCCTAAAAAACATCACATTGCCATGCAGTGTTTTTAAATATCTATTTTTACTTTGGAAAATGGAAAGATATAGAAAAGGAGTGAGGTCAGGTTTCAGCCCTGTTAGAATGTAAAGCTTATCTTTGTTTTATAAGCCTGAATTCAAAACTTGAATTCATGAGGAACATAAATATAATCTGAAAGTGTTGGAATATGCAAGTATCCGTTACTTTAGGTCAACTCTACAGTTTTCTGGTAGAACTTTGGATTTTGTAGACAGTTGAAAATATCAGTCACTATTCCAGGGCTAATAATAAAATAATAACCATAAATGCCAGCAATTTCCAGTTAGATCTTTGAAAACTCAAGGCAGAGGTATGGGAAATGGATCAGATGGGCAGAAAAGAATGTTTATGGGCTCTTGCTTTCAAAATAAACATTATTTGATTGATGTTCCTGAAAATCCAAGACTTTATAAAAGGCATAGAAGCAAATTCTCTATGGAAGTCCTTATCCCTTCATTTGGGAAACAAGCAAAGGAACTGGTTCCTTATGGTAAGTAAAGATAACTGTAATGTGGTCATGAGTCCATACAGCTTAATGGGTTTTAAAGTCTACAGTCAGCAAATTATGTAATACAGTTTAATTTCTGTTTTAAAGTCATGACTATTCATATGAATTAAACCTCAGCTTTTCTTTATAGCAACCATGGCAAATTATGTGAATTATATGAATTCTTGTAAATGAATCTTTAAGATACAGTCAGTTTTACACATGGGTTTGTTAACCTTAATTGCTGTGCCAACACCTGGATGATTCAGGAGACTACAATGTGGGAAGTGTATCCTCATCTTTGGAGTCTTTTATCTCGGTGAATAGTGTCTTCTGTTATTCAGCAGAAGGCCCTGATTGTTAGTAGGCTGTCAGGGCTCTTTTAAGTTGCTTGTCTTATGTATAAGCATTTTTTGTTTTATGTTTGTGCCTAAGAATGGCATTTGTAGGACTTGGGTCATATCACTATTAAATCAAAATGCTTGCACATTTCTATATTGTACAGAAAACTTCTCAAAATTAGAAAAACTTTTATTATACCAGTCTTAAAATTATTTGTGTACAAATGTATGCTTATTAATAAAAGCATTAGATTAAAAGAAAACTAGGCAACTCAAAAGTTAAATAATTATGTTAAGCAATACAATAACCATTAGAAATGTTACTTTTTCCACTTTGCTCACTACGTGTGCCTTCTGAAGTTGGTAACACAAATGGGTGTGTATGTCACATCATATTCATGGAGTGTCTCTCCTTGAGAATTCAAGCCATATCTAATGCCTTTATATTCCACTTTTATAGTTTTGGAAGGACTGGGGGAGGCTAAACTTTTTAGCTTGTTCTGATGAGCTGCTCTGGATTGCTATTCAACATTCTCTGAATGTAATCTGGATTTGCATGGGAGTTGAGCCAAAGATGACACTACTAATAGTGTTTAGTGACCACTCACTCTATGTCAGGCACTGTTCTACTTGCACTAAACTCTCTATGAGACTAGGTACCACTGTTAGCCACATCTTTTTTTGTATCAGGGATTGAACTTGGAACCTTGCGATAGCGAGGCAAGGGGCGGAACCACTGAGCTAAATCCCCTGCCCCTATTATCCACATTTTGATGACAGCAGAGGTTTAGAGAGGTTAATTTGTGAGCTGTCTTACTTTGCTAGGGCTGCTATTCCAAAATACAGGTGACTTAACAGAAATTTATCATCTTACAGTTCTAGAGACCAGAAGTCCCATATGGTTGATCCCGAGGCCAGGGATTTAGCTCAGTGGTTCCACTGCCTGTCTCAAAAGCACAAGGTCCTGAGTTTGATCCCTGGTACCAAAAAAAAAAAAAGAAAAGAAAAAGAAAGGTGGTTGATCCCTTCTGAAGGCTGTAAGGAAAGAATCTATTCTAGGCATCTTTCCTTGGCTTGTAGGTGGCCACCTGTATCTCTTCACACCATCTTCTCTTTGTACATGTATTTGTGTGTAAATTGACATTATTCATATTGGATGAGGACCCACCTAATAACCTCATTTTAACTTGGCTACAGCTATAAAAATCTGATCTCCAAATCAGGTGATCTCAGGAGGGGATACTGAGGGGTTTGGATTTCAGCATATGAATTTGGGAGAGAAGTGTTAGTCAGCTTCCTATTATTGTAAGAAATACCTGAGATAATCAACTTGTAAAGAGGAAGAGTTTATTTTGGTTCACAGTTTTAAGGGTTTCAGCCCCTGTTTGGTTGGCATCATTACTCTTAGGCCTGTGGCAAGACGGCACATCACAGTAGGAGCACATAATGGAACAAAAATATTCACCTTAAGACCAAAAAACAAAAGAGAGAGAGAAGGCTGGGATCCACTAGTCGCCTTAAACCTCTACTTTCAAAAGTTTCGTCACCTTTCAAAAGTGTCAAGATGGGAACCAGTCCTTTAACACATAGATGTTGGGGGACCATCCCAAACAAAAGTATAGTGGGAGTGGGAGTATGAAGAGGGTGCATAATTCAACCCAGAACACTAGCTATCTGTGTTATCAATCCAGCCATTTAACTCCAGAACTCAAGCTTTCTGTCTCCACATTAAACTTCCTTAATCAGATTAGGTTGATGGATGTAAAATTACCTTTTTTGTGTGTGTGCCTCAGAATACTGGGAATATTCATGACTTGACCTGACCTGTCTCCAAATTTTGTCACTCAGAACAATTTTATAAAGTATAAAGGAATGCAGAATACCCAATAAATAAAGTAAATGGGCTATGGGCTAGAGAATTTATGCTCTTAAGAATATACTCTTAGTTCTAGCTCTTAAGGCAGAGAAGACATAAACATGCACACAGAGCCTTTTCAAAACAGTATCAGTCATTGTACAAAGAATGTCATTTTTTCCTGGTGTTTCTATTCTAGCAAATATTGGAGTTATGGATATAGTGACTAAACCAATACAGCGTCTTTTCTTTTACTAGTGTGCTTATTAGAGCTCACTCGTTACAAACTAGGAAAACTACCTCCATTTGCTAGACTTAGGCCAAAATGGAGAATACTCTTTCCTGATTTTGACTAGTGTCATAGGTGAGTTTCAAAATTGAAGGTGATAATGATTTCAAAATTAGAAAGTACATCATAAACAGTGGTCAAGCCTACTTGCCCTTTTATATACAGTAATTTATAAAATTAAGTGATTAGCCATTTTTAAAACCAAGCATATAGAGGAGTTCCAATATGGTAGTTTCTACACGCATTAGATTTGTTTTCAATGTCAAAGCACCTTTTTAAACCTTGGTTCCCTAGTTGCTCTTGTTGAAAAAGTCCTTTCTGTAAATTTATATCATATTATGTCAGTCATTTTTATCTTACTTAAAAACAATTTCTTACACAGTTTAGTTCACTAAAGGCATATGACAACAGTAGCAGCCTAACTCCAATTTCCATCTCTCCTTTCCAAGCTAATTTTTTTTTTCATACAATACTGGAAATTTGAACCCAGGCCTTCATGAATGCTAATCAAGAACTCTACCCCTGAGCTATACTCCCAGCTCGCATTCAGTTTTTATACTTTCTCATTCTATAGACAATCATATTTATAGAAGTTATAAGAGAAAACTAGGATTCACCCGAAATGAATACCTTTGTCTGGATTTTCCTTTCATGTCTTGGGATGGACTTTGAACCTTGGCAATATTAATAGGATTCTGAAAATCAGGAATCAATAACATGTTCCTGTTAAGTTTTCATAAGTGTGCTTTTTTTTTGGTTTTAGGTGTTCCAACCCCAAGCCAAGAAATCCTGCGGCACACACTTAACACGCTGGTACGGGAAAGGAAAATCTATCCAACTCCAGATGGCTATTTCATTGTGACCCCACAGACTTATTTCATAACTCCTTCCCTCATAAGAACTAACAGTAAATGGTACCATTTGGATGAGAGGATACCTGACAGGTCTCAGTGTACCTCTCCGCAACCTGGAACCATAACGCCCTCTGCCTCAGGCTGCGTCAGGGAAAGGACATTACCCAGAAACCACTGCGACTCTTGCCACTGCTGCCGAGAAGACATGCACAGCATGCACGCATCAACTCTGCAGAGGAAACCCACCAAGGACTGCAAAGACCCTTACTGCCCTCCTTCACTGTGCCAGGTGCCACCCACTGAAAAGAGCAAAAGTACTGTAAATTTTTCTTATAAGACAGAAACTCTCTCAAAACCTAAAGATAGTGAAAAGCAGTCAAAAAAATTTGGGCTCAAATTATTCCGGCTAAGTTTTAAGAAAGATAAGACCAAACAATTAGCTAATTTCTCTGCTCAGTTTCCTCCTGAGGAGTGGCCCCTGAGAGACGAGGACATGCCAACCACTATCCCTCGGGAAGTGGAGATGGAAATCATTCGGCGTATTAACCCTGACTTGACTGTGGAAAATGTCATGAGGCACACAGCGCTGATGAAGAAACTTGAAGAAGAAAAAGCACATAGGAGTAAAGCAGGATCCTCTGCTCACCACAGTGGACGAAGTAAAAAGAGTAGGACTCATCGGAAGTCGCATGGGAAGTCTCGGTCACACAGCAAGACACGAGTATCTAAAGGAGACCCTTCAGATGGCTCACATCTGGAGATCCCTGGTGAAAGAGAGTATGACTTTTGTGACCCTCTGACCAGGGCACCCAGGGAGGGCTGCTTCATCATTGAACACAAAGGAGATAACTTCATCATGCACAGCAACACAAACGTAATTGAGTCCCATTTCCCCATGACACCAGAATGGGATGTGTCTGGCGAATTGGCCAAAAGGAGAACTGAGATGCCTTTTCCAGAACCTTCCAGGGGAAGCTCCCACTCAAAAGTACACCGAAGTCACAGCCATACCCAGGACCGAAGGTCCAGGAATGAGAGATCGAACAAAGCCAAGGAGAGATCCAGATCGATGGATAACTCCAAAGGCCCCCTGGGTGCTTCTTCTCTAGGCACACCTGAAGACCTAGCTGAAGGCTGTAGCCAAGATGATCAGACCCCCAGCCAGTCCTACATTGATGACAGTACTTTAAGGCCTGCACAGGCTGTTGGCCATCAAAGGGCTCACATTTCATCCACAAGCTATAAAGAGGTATGTATTCCAGAAGTAGTTGGTGGTGGCAAGGAACCTTCCAGTGCTTGTAGCCTTTTGGAGGCAGGCAAGCCCCCCGAGAGTTTGCCATCCTATGGTGAACTCAACTCTTGCCCAACAAAAACAGCCACAGATGACTACTTCCAGTGTAACACCTCTAGTGAGACGGTGCTCACGGCACCATCACCTCTGGGGAAGAATAAGGAGGACCATGACACACTGACTCTGGTGGAAGGGGTGAAGAAGTTGTCTCCATCTGACAGGCAGGCCCCTCATTCCTCCAGGGAGCCCGTTGGGCACAAGGAAGAGTCCCCAAAAGGACCAGGTGTGGGCCCTGCCACTTCGGGAGGAGTGGCTGAAGGGATTGCCAATGGACGTCTGGTCCAGCACCATAGCACTGAGCCCAGCAGCCTGGATAAGAGGAAAGAGATATTCAGCAAAGACACACTGTTCAAACCTCTTCACAGCACCTTGTCTGTAAACAGCTATCACAAATCAAGCCTGTCCCTCCTCAAATCTCACCCAAAGACACCTGCTGACACAAAATCAGGCCGATGCGAGAAACTGGAATCTTCCCTGGGGAACTCGGCAGCCCAAGCCATGCCTGCCTCCCAGCGTCAGCAGGAGTCAGGAGGGAACCAGGAAGCTTCTTTTGACTATTACAACGTCTCCGATGATGACGACTCTGAGGAAGGGGCGAACAAAAACACAGAGGAGGAGAAAAATAGAGATGATGTAGGCACCATGCAGTGGCTCCTCGAGAGGGAGAAGGAAAGAGACTTGCAGAGGAAATTTGAGAAGAACCTCACCCTCCTTGCCCCAAAAGAAACTGACAGCAGCAGCAACCAGAGAGCCACCCATTCAGCCCGGCTTGACAGCATGGACAGCAGCAGCATCACTGTGGACAGTGGATTCAACTCCCCACGGTAGGGAGAGGTGTCTTTCTGTGCACGCACGTACACACACACACACACACACACACACACACACACACACATACCAGGGCTGGGAGCTTCATGCAAATAACTTGAAAAGCTTCTCATTTCACAGTCTCAGTTTTGTGAATAAGGGCTAAGAGTTGTTTGAATTGTATTGTTAACAACCTGTTTCTGACTTCTTTTTCAGGAATTGAAAAAAAAATGTTTCTGCAGCTGTAGAGATCACCAATCTGGACTGGTGGGTTGGCTCCTTCCCTCAGACTTGCATCAGTTCAGACTAAAAAGACCAGCACTTCCCAGTGTTACTAAATTTTCTAGTTTTATTACCACCATTCTAAAGAGAAGGGATTTTTAAAGTCCTTCAGAAATAGTAACTTTTTAAATAGAATGAATAGTCAGTGGGAGATGGGGGATGGGCATATGAATTGATACTAGGATGGGGTTCTCTAGTGGTGGGATAACAGCCAGAGGAGCTAGAAGCTTGCTACCATTTTAATCTCTCCTTTGTGTGCCTGTCCCACTTGCTGAAATACCCTGCTCCATCACCTCCCTGTCCTAAGGGAAATGGAAACTTCTTCCTTTCACAGAAAAGCTAGAGGCCTGTGCTTTGTTAGATCAAAACAGGTGCCAGCTTTTCTTTCTTCTCCTGTTGTACTGACACAACCATTTAGGTGTCTTCATCACAGCCACTTTTTGTAGGTATTGGTAATTCAGCAGTCTTGACAACTGAGAGGATATAATGGCTGATGGGCCCAAAGCACTGTTGTTCAGGGGTTACAAAACCAAACTGAGAGACTGTGAAACTTCCTTGTTTCTCCTTAACTCTTTCTTCTCCTTAAAGGGTACCTTGGGTCTTAAACCTCCTTCTAAATTCTACTCCAGATTGGTGACTCTGAGATGCAGAAATACTACTGAGCGATTAACATTTCTTATCAGCTGTGATTCCCAAGATGTTAACAATACTAGTAATTTTGACAAGTACCCAGATAGGATTATGTGCCTTATATATTTATTTTAATTATTAAGAATTAATATTAAATTTTTTGTGATCATTTCATCATATCTCTGGATAATTTCGGGACAGAGCATCCTAAGTCAGAATTGAAAATCATTGATCTGTCCCATATTAGGCCTTTATTATTTCATAAGTGGCTAGTTCTTCATAATGATGATGATGATGATGATGATGATGACGACTTGGTCATGTAACCTTTTTTCCAAGTTAACACATGTCCCAGGAGTCCCAGGTCTCTTCTACCTGTCCCTTGAGGAACTCTGAAAGACCTTAGGGAACTGTGACATCCAGTCTTAAAACCACTGGCCTATTTAATCACCTTTCTAAGATAATTGTTTTGTTAAATATTTTTTAATCCCAAATCAAGTCTTAATTTGTTTTCCATTTTATTTTCTCTATCCTTTTCTACCTGTTTTCCTGTTCTGCACTTTTTCCCCTCTTGATATCCTAATAGGGGATACCAGATAGCATAATTGAAGGTCTGTAGTCTATGATAAATTTCAAAGCCGTCCCTTTTGAAAGACGTGGTTTATTTACCTGTATCTTTATATTCTACTATTTCTTATTATGTAGACTCTACTGCCTGATGCTTTTTAGACAGTTGTTTCTCACCCTTCACTTCCCCTTCTTGGCCTCCGGACTTCCACAGGCGGAAACTGCAAAACTCTAGACAGTTACTAAGGAGACCCTGGGATTAGTTAAGTGGCTTCTACTTCAAAACCCTACTACTGCATAATATTGAAAGTATTTGTTTGCTTATGGATAAATGGAAATATTCATGAAATATTTGAACCAGTATCTCCACAGAATATATTATCTCAAAACTTGGAGTATGGAATATAGAACTTATGACTGGGATTATTTCTTGAAGTAAGTTTATTTTTATTTTTAAGATAATGTACTTAAAAGTTAAATGATTTTCATGGGAGAAGGTAAAGTTTCTTCTGAGGAGAAAGGTTTCGTACATTAGCCACATCTATCCACTGATACAAGGTAGAGTTTTTTCTCCAGGAATGTATAAATCACTCATAAATTTTATGCAGTTAGATAACTTCAAAATACTTACTGATTTTGCTGCTGTCATATTTAATATCCTTTGGTTAGAAGCGAGGTGGCAAATTTCTTTTCTGTACACCTCAATAAAATAAGTTTCCTTTCTAAAGCTTGAAGATCTACAAAAGAAAAGATTTGCCTCAGAGTTTTCAGAATGAGTAGTATTTTAGCTAAGTGACATTACCATGCTGGCACCTTTCTGCTTCTATGAGACTTGGGAATCTTAAGGGAGCCATTGACTGGGATCTTACAGTACAACAGTGCACTAAGCAATTAAGACTCAACTAAAAACGATGATTGGAACCCAAAGGTTTCAGTGCTGACCCAGATGTTTTGTTCAACCATGTTTCCAAAATTCTTCACTCTGCTTGTTCAAAAATAGAGGATATTTAAAAGGTTAAAGGGTAGAAACTTGAACTATCCTGGAAGATCTCATAATGGAAATGAAAAGTCTTGAGATGAAAAGCCTACTATTCCAAAACTGGGAGCAAATCTGGTTAAGCAACACAATATGAAAATCAGAGAGACCATAGGCCGCCAGCGCAGTCTGTGTGCATGCTGTGGAAGCCCAGGGCCCAGGGACACACAGGCAGAAGGAAGAGCAATAGAGTTACTTGGTTCATTTCTCCTGCCTGTGTAACCCTGAAGTCTTGTTTCTAAGGTTGTACTCCATTAACTCTCATTCAAAAAAGTTAAATTTCATGCCAAGCATGGTGGCACATGCCTGTGATCCCAGCACTCGCTCAGGAGGCTGAGCCAGGAGGATTGCCGTGAGTTTGAGGCCAGCCTGCGCTACATAGTGAGTTCAGAGCCAGCCTGAACTACAAAGCTAGACCCTCTCTCAAAAAAAACTAAATTTCAGGAGTATTTTTATTGCTAAAAATCCATCTCCATTAACCTTTTCATCTGCATATTCAGAACCTTCAATATGTCACAGACTGTACTCGTTATTACAACCAATGAAATATTGTTTGAAGAAATTGGAATACTTTATGTATTTATCACTATTAATATATTAAAAATGGTCAAAGGTGCTCAAAGGCATCTCACAGCAGACACAACTCCCAATTTAGATGATCTTTTGCCATGATATATGCATGTAATACCTGGGACCTTGCCTGGTATACATAAGCCCATTCCTCGAAAGCCAGTTTAAAATGATACATCTGGGTCTTAAAAATACATTTTCCCATATAAAAGATGTCATTATTAATATATACATTTCCAAGCCAACCCACAGTGGCCATTTACGTAATTGTATGCTAGATGTATAACAGGAATAATTTACATATTTCTAGCTTTTCATTATACACATTATTTGTTGACATGTACTTCTTCGTGGTCACCCTGTGAGTAGGTAAATCACATCATAACTCTGCATTGCTGATGTGAGGAAGTGTGTAAAAAGTTATTATCATGATTGAGAATGACACTGAAGGAATATGTTGTGTAATCTTTGAGATCCTTACATGTCCATTGGCCTTTCTCTATCCTGACCCACCCTGCCTCAGTTGTAGATTTGACAGGCCACTATAGAATTTACTTGGGGAAAGTGTCAGCCAGGTAAGTAGGTGAGTAAGTCACTCTCTGTCCCATTGGTGATGGCATTTTGAAATATTCTTTAGGTTTACTCAGACTTAGCAAAAGCCTAATGAAAGAACTTGACTTATCTCTATGAGTTGATTCGAGTTCTGGAGGTGAAGAAAGGTATATGGTGATATTTTTGTAGTTGAATAAACTGCATTTTAAACAACTGCTTAAAAAGTAAACTCAAAGCCTCTAAGGATTGGTATTAAGTAGCCTGTTAGAAAGGGCTGCCAAAGTATAGAATTCAGACAGAATTTACATCAGTTTAGGATAGGAGTGAAATAGGAGAGGAGAGAATGTCTCTACTACAATAGATTGATCTGTGGACTAGCTTTAGCACCTTTAATCAGATTTGGGGATGAACTCTCAGAATATTTTCTAAAGTTTGAATCTACCCAGTGAGGTGGTTGTGGAAAATGATTATGGTTTCTTCAGTCTCTGTGGAAGTTGATAAGTTTCTTGTAGCCACCTTTTGAGGATCTGAAAGAGACCTATTCAGCTCCCTTCAGTGAGGCCCAGTAATCTTAGTTCCGTTGCCCTACATCTTTCAAATGCTGAATGTTCTAAATCTCTCAAAGAAAATAGATTCAAGTATTTCTTACTTTTAAGAATTAAAAGAGAAATTGAAATAATAAAAGCTTTTAAATTACCTCTGTTCTATAAGAATTCTTTAAAACGAGAAGTATTTCTACCAAAGGAAGGCAAAAGTAAATGGGAAAAAAAAACCCTAAGGTCCTTTATCTGAAAATACTGTATTTTAACTTACATGTTACAATTTGAAACAGAGGTATCAAGTGTTTCAAAAAATTTTATTCTCATCAGTGTGGCAAATTAGCTGGTGGCATGCTCGGAGTCCACCAAAGTCAAAATCTAATCAAAGACAAAAATGGAATCAGGTGGGTCAAATCATTGACTTTCTTCAAGGAGCAGTTATCCCCATGAATTTCCAGCCTGAAATGAAATCATTCCACAGGTATAATTATTAATTTTAAAGGTAGCATGATAGCTATCTATCATACCAAATTTTTAAGTAGTTTCTGTAAATGTAAAAAGAAGTGAGAGCCATTTCAAAGTACATTTGGCAGTTTTTATTCATTCATTGTGCTGCTAATTGCAACATGTCTTGTCAGAGCTCCTGGAGCCCTGGTTGGAAGAGCATATGCTAATAATCAGTGGAGATGTATATGGATTTGACATTGTGAACCAACAGAGGAAATCCATTAACTACATCATTTGCTCTTCCTCTGGGGCTCAATATATAATTATTTATATTCAAAGCAAAACAAAACCAACCCTTTTTACTCTTTTAGTACTCGAGAGAGCCTGGCTTCCAACACATCAAGCATTGTTGAAAGTAACCGTCGTCAGAATCCTGCTTTGAGTCCAGCCCACGGTGGAGCTGGTCCAGCCTTCAACTTTCGCGCAAATACAGATCCCCCGACCAGTGAAGCTGAGAAATTACAGAAACCATCCAACTGCTTGCAAGCTTCTGTTACTAGTGTGTGATAGTCCTTCTGCCTCAGATCTTCTGTCTCATTTGATACAGCAAAGTTTACGACACTGGGACTGATGTTTACATCTTCAGAAAGACAAGCATCTCAGGCACAGTTTTGGGGTTTACTTAAACTGTGCTGCTAAGTAGGCTAGGGCAAAAAAATCTTTATTTCAGAGTATTGCTTTTCACATTTATGGCTCTGTAGCAACTGAATAGCAGTAGGGGTGATATGTATACTTTTGCTTCACTAATTGTATCTGAGCACACATAGGAAAGTCTAGACACTGTAAGTGAAGTATGCATTTTCAATGTCATGCAGTTGCCAATTCCATTTTAAAATGCCACAGATGTGTGTTGCTCCCAGTCTGTGGTTAAATGGGGCCACAGAACTGATCCTTGACACTTTCAAAAACAAGAAAAACCCCCAAGCCACCACAGAATGTCAAATGCAAGGGTCCACCTTGAGGGAAATCAATGCCAAACTGACCAGAAGGGATCCAGCCCTTTGTGTGTGAATTGTTTATGCACCAGTCATTTTTCACTGTGAGTTTTTGTGACACTATTTTCCAGGAGCCCATGAAAGTGTGTCAGAAGGGTTGCGATGGAAATACTGGGAGTATATTCAGGATTTTGCTTTCAGATGTTAACAGATGCTTGTCTTGATTTTGAACCTTCCATAATTACAAACAGGAATATAGGCCTTTGAATCTGAAGTGGACAAAGGAAGGGAATTGCCAGTCTGGCTGGGGCACACCAGTAAATGATGGAAGAGGTAATGTGGACTTTTAAAAGGTATTAATCAAATATTGAAGGAAGATGATTTCCTCCTTGTGATACTTATGACGATCCTATCTTACTATAATAGATACAATAATTAGTTTGTTTAAAAGCAAAATGTTCTTTGTGATACAAATGAAGAGTATGGCCCGAGGATGTTATTCTTTCTAATGGAAGGATATAAATCTATTTTATGTAGTTTTAAATAGAATGCCTAAATTAGGCTGTGGAAGATAGTTTTTAGTGGTTATAGGAAGGAGCAAATTTAGGGAGAGTTGAACTTCAGGCCTTTTATTCCTGGGAAGATATCTATAGAGAATACTTTTAAAGTAATTTTTGATTAGAAATATACATGTGCCCATGTAATAAACAACAGAATGTGCTCATTCTGCTAATGTGGTATAATCAAAATTTGTACTCCCCTAAAATCTATTGTAATAACAATTATGCATACATGAACTATGCCAGAGTAATGTTTACAGATACTTTGTAACCAATTTCAGGAGGCTTTTTTTAAGGTGGATGTATAGTAATTAGCCCAACTCATTTTAAGATGGTTTGTTAACATTTTGCTTTGTTTTACAATGTCAAGTTGAATACAAAGAAAGCTCAACAGCAAAGGGATTGTGAACATTTATGATTCAATCTTAAGAGGAAAGAGATGTCCCTATGTTATATTTTCTGAGAGCAATGGAATACATCTGTAGATAATGGAAAACAATGTCCAAAAGGGTTACATCTGACCTAACTAGTGATCTGACCGAAAGTTGTATTTAGTTTTAAGAAGCATGTGCTAGTTGGAGCCATACACCATAAATTATATATATATGTACATATATATGTACATATAAATGTATATATAATATATAAAATTTTGTCACTTCAGATTTTTTAAATTGGCATAAAATTTATAGGACACTTCTGTTTCCACATTAGATTTAATCACTTAACAATTTGTTTAAGGAAGGCAGATAAGTAGTCAGACGAATCCTTGAAACATATGAATACTTTCTCATGTTTCATCAGCTATTTGGAAGTTGCATTGGGTCAAACCGGACTCCTCAAGTTTGGTTTAAGTTCTTTTGAGGGGCTTATTATAGTAAAATTTAAGCACACTTCTTAGTAAATTGTCACATCGTTAAAATGCTTAAATCAGTCAGTTTTCAATCTCATGCCTTATTCCTCCAAGGCATGCCTCAATTGCTCAGAAATGCATTATTTCATTGCTTAAATATTTCCAGAAGGAATGATAATGTATCTAGTAGACTACATAGTCTGTTTCCTTGGGGAGTTGTATACGATACAGTTACTAAATTTTTCTGTCTAAATTTAGTTTTTTTAAAAAAACCTACTCTCAAATTTTTATCATATTCAGTTCATAAATAATATAACCATTCATACAACACATCAGCCTCTGGCTGACTCTCTTGAAAGTAGCCATTGAAATAATCAAATATTATGTGTGCAGGAAGGGAAATCATTACATTCAAGAGAAGCTTTAAGATATGAATTTATTGGTGTTTCACAAGAAATAGGTCTACAGAAGACATTATTCAAATAAAATGTGTATGCTATTTGCTTGATGCTATGGGGTACATGATTCTTTAAATGAACACTCCCTTAGACCAACAGCCATTAGCGTAGAAATGGTGGGTTTTAGAGATGATATACCATGTACACAGATCTTTTGTGTAGAAATAATTTCATCTGAATATAATCTGGATTCTTGAGGAGGAGTAGTGGCAGAAAGTGCATGACAAATGTGATTTGTGACATGTGACAAAGGCACATGTCCAAGATGGCCTCACCCAGTGATGAGACTCTTGATGTCCACATCTTTGAGCCCTCTCCAAGCTTTGCCAATGTTCTTTTCCTCCAGTGAAACCATAGCTTTGTGTTACATGACTGCTAATCTAGTTATAGAGTTTATCAACTGAAAGGTTTACAAAACTGAATCTGGTTGAATCTCTGTGAGGCGTTCAACTTTAAGGGGTCAACACATCTGTCGGCATTTTGCACACTTATGTATTATTATGATACAGCATATTACTTTATGGTAATTTTTATTTTTACATATAACTACCTCCATGAATTTGATGATATTGCAGCAGTGTGTTAAAGTGTATTGTTCAGAAAAGCAACGTTTAAAACTTTATTCAACATGAGGCCATGGCTTTGTGTGTGTGTGTCAATGGTGGCCTATGTGGACTCATGACTTTTTCATTGCCATGGTTTTCTTTCATAGCATTCTTTGGCTTTCAGCTATAATCCTGTATTCTCCTCTCTTCCCCATGAAAATGCACTTGATTTTGTCACGAGTGAACAGAAGTTTAAAAATTCTTGTCTTCCCTCTTCTCCATTCCTGCGAAAAGTTCTCTCTGGCAAAGAGCCAATTGGTAAACATAATTTGGCAAGCTATTTACTCCTATAGAAATCTGATTTGACTGCTAGGTTTTCAGTAACAGAAGACAACAAAAATTTGGTCTGCCAACTCCGAAGCACTTTGGTCCTCTCTGCCTCGATCGCATGCTACCCTATTGAGCCCCAACTTCACTTTCATTAAAAGAGATGTGCCATGCGTTCCATGATTTCTGTTAAACAATTCGTATTCCATTTGATATGTTTTGCGCATCTCAGGGGACCTTAATGAGTATATGGGAAAGGGGGGGTGCATCAAATAGAGAAAACAAATAGAGCCAAAAAGGGACTAGCTGGATAAAAATAACAAATGACTGAGTCCCTGACCTTGGGGAGCTCAAGTTCAAGAAGCATAAATTGAAAGTTAATCTGGAGTAACAATGATCTGAATACCAGCTGTTCTCCAATTTCTCTTTTTCATAACCCAGCTAGCATTTCTAAAACGTAAATTTAAATTTTATTCCAGTCACCGTCAAGAGAAGAAACCTGTTCCATGGGAATGGAAGTACCATTCCCCTTTTAGGTTGGCACAACTGTAAAATTCTACCCAGGATAAACCACTTCTCACCACAAAGTGTACTTGAAAATAAGGTTTTTAACTTAAATGATAGGCCTATTTCTCACAATAAAATAGGGGTCTTTTTTGGAAAAGTCTCATCATTTATAACATGGGTAGAATTCAGAGCTTGATTTAAAATCCAACAACAACCAAAAATGATATTTCACAGTCCGTTTTGGGATCTCAAAGTACTTCCAAAGCATCAGATTCACAACTAACAAAGCAGATCATATTTGTAATACCCATACTTGAAATGAGTAAACAAAAAGAGTGACTTAAATTATCCACAAGTACAGTGGCAGCTATCATTAATCTATTTTCTATCTGTTTGACAGACCGGCATGAGAAATCACTAAATACAATGCTATTTTTCTGATGTGTGCTAATAAAGTCAAAGAAAACAAATATAACTTTACACCTTTGTCCATTTTCATTCAGAAACTTCAGGGTGTTTAGAATCTTACACCTCCGCACACCTTACAAATACTGGATTACAAAGTGGGAGATTAGCAGATTAACAAACCCAAATGCCATTGCAGTCCAAGAGAGATCCAGCCATCCACCCTTGTTTACAGTTTCATATTGGGTTTCTATAATTCCCCTGCTAAAATACCATCTTCAAGAACATGACTGCTCCAGGCAGTGGAAGGTGCTGTAACAAATTTTAATTAAAAACTTCATCAAGTACTCTTTACAGTGTTCCATAGCACCATAGAAATTCAATACAATAGAACAAGTCCTACTTTGTAGGATCTGGATTTCCAAGGGAGCTGATCCAGTACTAAAGTGTTTTTTCAAATTAGGACATATAAGATCCTTGACAGGTGTCTTCTACATTATCACAGGCCAGTCCCCAAACCAACGACTAGCCATGTACTCTCAGACCACAGCAGACCCAGGAAGAGATTACTTCCCTCTTCCATCCCCCTATGGTAGTATCATCCTGCCTATTGTCAAAGCTGCCAGTACTCTTCTATTAGTGAGGAACTCTCTCACACACATTTGGGGCTAGAACACGGGAAAAATGAATTCAGAAGCCAAGGGAGATGTTGCTTTGCTTTAGGTTAGTAAACTATGGGCAGGAAAGAGATTACGATCAGTCTGAGCTTTGCCAAGTAAGATAAAAGAATCAGCTGTTACCCCATCCCTCTTACAGAAGGTTTTATAGTATTAAGGATACATCCAATATTTTCCATAGAGTTTTATTTAGGAGACATTTCATAAATTATATATATGAAAAATGTACTATTAAATTTCCTTGTGTGTTTGAAACAGGCATTGGCATCTCCCTGATTGAGTTAATCTCTGCGTCTTTTGCCGCAGCATCCCAGACAGAGATTCCCCAGTGATCGCTCCTCTAATACATAATCCTATGTTTTTACAGTTGTTCTGTGACTTACAGTTGATGATTTGGAAGATTCAGAATTCTACAAAACTCAAGGGGCACTAACCCTTCTTATGATTATATGTTATCGGTTATGGGGCTTTAATTGTTGATTGTTGACTTCACGTGTGAGCACACACATATTGTGCCAACGTAGTGTTTCCAAGTGAGGCAGCGATGACTCTGGAACAGTGGCAGTGATGCAAAGTTAGAAGCTTGGCTGGTTCATGTACAGCTGCCTACCTCCCTGTCCAAAGGCTGACCCAGGTACCCTCATTCCCTTGCTTCCACCGAAAAACTGGTACCTGTGGGCCGGGGATTTAGCTCAGTGGTCCCGCCGCCTGCCTCGAAAGTGCAAGTTCCTGAGTTCGATCCCCGGTACCAAAAACAAAAAACAAAACAAATCAAAAAGCTGGTACCTGAGCTCTCCTCCAATAGTATTCCTCTGCAGTTCTGGGAAGTTGGTCAGCAGTACACACTCGGCAGCCCTTCTCCTTCCCTTCCTCGAAGGACCCCGCCCTGCCTGCCTCACCTTCTCCCACCTAGATCTGACAGTGCCACGGTTTCCATATTGGAAGGGCAGAATACTGTGTGGTTGTGTACACATCCGCTGGTTAGGAATAAAGCTGCCCTAGAGTCACCTTCATGTTAAATATTGACGGCCACAAATTAAAGTCCTTAGAGCAGTTGACGTAGATAATGCTTTCTGGAAGAGAATCAAATTTAAACCTCAAGTTTAAAGGGATCATAATTCTGCAGGTATCTCTCTGAGTGACTGAATGTGACTATTGCATTAGGGTAAATGAATTAAGAAATGCAAGTGGGATTTACTGTATGTTAGAAAGGAGTTTTGCAGCCAAGACTGCCTTGAATAAAATGTGTTTGCACTGAAAAAAAATTTAAATTACTTGGTCTCTGGTTGCTGTAAAGGTCATCCAAGATGGATGTTCTGTTTATATTGTATAGTATTTCATATGAAATAATTACAGTTCATGAAATGTCTTCCCTAATGTTACTGATTTATAACAGCACATTTGTAACATGGTTTTTATTGTGTCAGTGTACCATATTGTAAATGATGATTACTTGTCATGCTTAGTATAATAACTTAAGAGAAAAAAAAGGACAGGGATTTTTGTAAGTCTATATTTGAAAGTCCCTCCATATGGTAATATTGTGTTCATGTTGTTTATGTAGTGTTGTGTGAAATATCCATTTTGGATTGTGTTACTTTTTAAGATATTAAATAACATTTGGTTATATGTCTAAGTGGATTTTTTTTTTGGTCCTTGAGAGAAAATATTTTACGTGAGATCAGTTTATCTCTTCATTTAATGCAATTTCATAACAAATTTTTATTGCTTTTGAGTTAAGTAAAAATGAAATTTCTTATCAAAATTCTTTTACCAGGAATATTGAAAAAGTCACATTTTTTGATAGGGTTAGAGAAGCATATAATTAGGTTTTCTATATGAAATTTTAAAGTAATATGGTTAGTTTTGGGATTTCTTTTGGTTAGCCCTCATATTACAACTTTTAAGCCTAGTTAAATGTGATTTTCTCCCAGGTTAACACTAGGAGGCTGTTCGTCTATTCCAGTGAGTCACTCGCATGAGACTGGCCTGCCTCTGTGCTTAATTGCCTTCAAAATCTATTACAGCATTGGGTCTCCACATCCACGGGTTCCAGATTCCAGCTACAATCAAGCAACATGGATTGAAATGTTTTTAAAAAATTCTATCTTACTGAATATGTAAAGACATTTTTCCTTGTGATTTTCCCCTAAACAGTGCAATGTAATGACTACTTACACTGCATTTAAATTGCATTCCTTTGCATTATGATTTAAAGCATTTCATCTTTAAATGTGCATAGGTTATATGCAAATACTAAGCCATTTTATATAAAAGATTTGAACATTAGCAGGTTAGGGTTTCCTTTGGGATCTTAGAACCAATGCCTTGAAGGTACGGAGGGATGGCTATATATATTCTTTTAATTCTCCTCAATGGTAGCAAATGTTTGTCTTTGGAGAATGGACTCCGTTTTTTTAAACTGAACGTGGTTTGCTATCAAGTAAATGATTAAGTTAGGAAACTACATTTTCAATCAAAAACTATGTAGAGAGCTATATAATTGAGCCTGGCTTTCTTATAAAGGCGATACGCAGAGCAGCTTTCCAAAAATTGTTTCGAATAATGACTGTGTCTTTTGAGTAAGTGTGGAGATCCCAAGTGACAACTTTGAAGAACAAGCCTTATTTTCATTGTATAAATTTGTCTCTATATTTTAAACTGGGTTAATGTAGACACTTTGGTTTTCAGGCAGGAAGTCGGGAAGAACAAGCATATTAGGAGTTTTACTCTAGAATCACAGCTGCTGTGGTAAAGGGAAGGACATTGCATATTCCTTTCAGAATAAGCCAGTGAACTTGACTCACGGCAGAAATGTGGTGACTTAATAAGATGGAAAGCAGATTTCTGGCTCCTTTGAGAGAATGGTCACACTTCATTAAAATCTTTTCTTTCCAAAGGAAATGGTATGGCTTTAACTTATTTTTAAGTGTTCAGAGTGGAGGGATGTTTTTCTCCCTCTGTAAAGAAAATCCAAGTAGAGTACTCAATTCTTGTTTCCTATCTTGTTTGCTGCTGTGAAATCAAGAACCACTGAATAATAAAAAGGAGTTATTCACCTGACTTTGATAATTTATTTAACTGTAAAATCATATCCCTACAATGGGAGTATTTGGATTTGATGGTAGTGCCCTGTCTTTGGGATCAGTATCCCCAGACTTTTCTGTCAAGCAAATAGTTCATCATGTAACACTTGAAACAAGTGTGTGATGAATATATTCACACAGCAGATTGTCCTATACAGCAATCTTGAGAAAAATCAAGGCACTTACACTCAAGAAAGGCTGGATAGAGCTTTTTGGTGAGTCTTCTTCTTTTTTTTGGTAAGCCTTCTTAAAAGAATTGCTCTGGGAGTATGATGTTAACTGGCAGAGGGAGATATAATATGTCAGGAGAAGGGAAGCCAAAGAAGTTAGTTTAGAACTCAAAGAACAAAATTGAATTACTGATGTTCAATAAATAACAAATTCTTCCCTTCTTGGCCAGATCTAAGGTTCGGTCTACTGTTCAGTTGGGGTCAACATACTGGCCAGCATGTGCCTGACTAGTGATCATCTAGTTGGGTTCTTTAATCAGCCCAAATTTCATCAGATAAATTCCTCCCTGCTCACCTTTTGTGTTTCTCTCCTTATTGTGAATTTCCATGCTTTACTTTTCTATTGCCTTGGATTTATTTTACTTTACTACTCTTTCTAAGAATCTTGGTTATTGTTATGCTATAAGTATTTGGACTCATTCCTGGTTTCAATTACTGGTAACTGCAGTTGGTTACTAGTATTTTTAAATCCACGTTTATATTGCCTTAGCTTCCCTAGATCCACAGAACACTATCTTTCCTCAGTGTCATTTCCATTCACTTTTGCATTAGTAGCCTTTTGATCTTTAACCCTTCTATAGGATGTGCTACTTACTGATTCATCAGAGACCTGGTAAATAACTGGAAACTTGTAAATATGCATAGATAGGTGAATGATACATAGATGATAGATGCATATTGCACCTGACTAAATATCCCTATATTCTTTTTTTTAAAGTTGAGCAGATTTCTTTATTGAAAAATTACTCAAATGTTTTTATTTATTTTCATTGTAAGTCTTCAAGAGTATGGAGTTGCTTTGTTCCCTTACAGAATTTCTGTCTCCTATCTATCTGTCTGTCTGTCTGTCTATCTCTGCAGTCATACCGTCTACAAGTGGCAAGGAAACAAAAGGAGATGTTATGTCAGAGGATATTATTTGAGTATTAATTTTTTGCTCTAGCCAATTGATGGAACTATCAGTAATTCAGAGACTTTTCTAAAGATTTCAGCAGTCAGCATATTTTGTAGAGTTTTTGAGAGTGAAGCACTTGCATTGCATTTTTAAAATGAACCTTTTAAAATTAATTTTATTGGTACATTTTAGATATACATAATGATAACATTCATCATAGGAGATTTGTACCTGTACATGACAAATCTTGCTTTCTTTCCCCATTCCTCTCTTCCCTTCAGTCCCTTTTCCCCTACTTAGTTACAAAAGCTTTAATTCCATTTTTTCCTTCTGTAATTTTTTCTTTTCTCCCAATAAACCTTTTATTTTGTAACAGTTTTGTATTTACTGAATTGCAGATAGTATAGCAAGTTCTTATATTTCCTATACCCACTTTCCCCTATTATTAACATCTTGGTACAATGGTCACAATTACTGAACCAATATTACTGTGTTATTAACTGAGGTATATACTTTATTCAAATTTCCTTAGTTTGTACCTACTGTCATTTTTGTGTTCCAGGAACTCATCTAAGATACTATAATGCATTTAGTTGTATGTATCCTTGTCTGAGATTCCTTCCTTCCTTCCTTCCTTCCTTCCCTTTCTTTCCCTCTCTCCCTCCCTTCTCCCTCCCTCCCCCCTCCTTCCTTTCTTTCACTTTTTGTCTTTGCTGTTATTAGGGTTTGAACCCAGGGTGTTATACATGCTAAGTATATGCTTTATCACTGAACTGCACCCTCAGCCCTGAATGTTTCTTCGTTTTTGATGATGTTGACCTTTTTGTGTATTACCAGTCAGGTATTTTGTGCAGTGGACCTCGGCTTGGGTATGTCTTAAGCTTTTCACATGATTAGACTGGGATCACTGTTTTGAGGAGGAGAACCACAGAAATAAAGTAAGACTATATACTATTAAGCATGACTTGATATTAACCTTGACTTCCTAGATTGAGGTTAGTGCTGTCAGGTGTCTTTTGTACAAAGTAACTAATGTTTGTTTCCATACTGTATTCTTTGGCGGAGGGTCACCATGCAATTTATACTTAAGGAATGGAGAGTTATGGGTAGAATAGTTAAATAGATTATTTGGAATTCTCCTTTGCAAGATATTTGTACCACTTTCCTATTTGTTTATTGAATCATTTATTCAGTGTGGACTTGTGAATATTATTTTATACTTTCGGTTATAATCCATTACTACTTTATTGCTGAAATTTCTCCGATTTCTCCAGCTTTTCTTTTTAAGAATTCTTTAAGTTGACTCTTTTATCCCCTTTGACATTTCCCGATCATTGTGATTTGTTTATGTGTTTGTGTCTGAGCACTTCCTAACTTCCTGGCACTATAAAATTCCCGACACTCATTTTATATATTTCCTGCCATAGTCTTGGAATTAGCCATTTGTCTTAAAAGTCCTGATTTCTTTTATTGGAGAACAGTACCAAAATCGGGTGCTAGGTATGTACTTTTCTTCTGGGAATTCTTTACTTCTAGGTCCACTCAGCTAACAGAGGAAGAGGATATATATGTGCATCCTGGCTTGTGTACACACACAATCTGTATATGTTTTCCTGTGTAACCATCTGTATCTTCATTAGGCTAAATGTGGCTTCCCACTGATATCTCCTCTGCCAGCCCATCACTACATGCGTCTTTCTAGTTTCCTTCCTCTGTTTATCTGTAATTTCCTCCAAAACAGTACGAAAACTGTCTCCCTCTTTTAGCATCTCTTGATTGTTTCATTTCATTAATTACATTTTGTCAAGCTGCTTTGACAAATACAGGTAAACATACAAGTGAAAAAATGAAAAAAACTTATTCAACTTATTCCAATAGATAGCTTACTTAATGCGACAGTACAGTGAAGATCATAATTTTATTAGTGGATTTATTTAGATCTACTGGGACTATTCTAAAGAATTTTAAGTTTCAGAGAAAAGGGGGCACTATTACTGTTATTTAATATGTATATTTCCTTGTGTCACAATTTGGTACTTAGAAACCAATGTGTTGACCTTACTAATTAATATATATACCATGTGTTAGTAAGCCCCTACCTGCTTGTCCTCATTTTCAGTCTCTATATATCTAAATCTTTACCCTATTTCAAGGCCCAGATCAAATGTTGTGTTTTTCACAAAGGCTGCTCCACACACCCCTCTCCACTCCCAGGACCTCCCTTTCCTCTTTCCCTCTCTTACAACATTTTTCATTTCCAACCCCATGTTCTCATTTTTTATCTTAGAGACTGACTCTTTCCCAAGAGCATGCCCTCAGCAAAATAACTCATACCACTTTTATAAAATTTACTAGATTTCCTGGATGTGTGTGTGTGGGAGATACCTCTTATCGTTGTAGCTGGTGGTCCATATGAACATTG